GTGTGTGTGAAAGAACGAGAAACTAATACTGAAAAATCCATGCTGTCAGGAAAAAGTCACTGATTAACATTTCTATACGTATGTAATTAAAACAAATATTGATTCAAGACAAAGTTTAAATAAATTACTTATGTGTATTTTGAAGTATCCCGTTAGTAAAATTCAATAGAAATGGCTACTTTCAAACAAACATCCCCAATATTGCAAAGAAATTTTTAACTCACAGGTTTATGCAAGGGTTAATGCACGTAATAGAATATAGTAACAACTTTTTTTTAGGGAATGTTAAACTCGTATGCCTGATCGGCTGTTTTTTTTTTTCTTTCTTTCTTTCTTTTTCTTTTTCTTTTATTGTCTTCACCACTGGGCTGCAGGAAACATGGCCAATACCAGCTGACCTAAAAGAATAAGCAATCTGTCCCGATTGAAAATAATTACTGAAGAGATCTATCTTTTTTTCTCTCTTTGCTGCAACATTTCAAAAAATTTGCTTTAAATGCCCTTAACTATTATATGGAAACATGTCTTGTGTCAACTTTTTTTTTATAGCCTTATCAATTCAAATCATTTGGTCTCACAAATTAGATTAATTGTTTAAAAGAAGAAGGCCAGAGGAAGATTTTTTGAATGAAAACACTGTCTTTAAGGACAATGCTTAAAATGATATATTTTTAGCCTTAAAAGTGTACAGATGTGTTTCTGACCTGTAGATATGTTTTTTGCATTGCACCCTATTTTTCTTTTTTTTTTGTTAGATTAGAAATGTTTTTAAATATAGCACATGAGGGTGATCTCAAGACTGAGTCATTATGGTTAAGTCCCAGTTGCCTGGGCCAGTGTTGCATGACATGCGACTGCTCTCTTGCCCATGTTTCCTGTCTATTCTACTTTGCTATCTGAATGAAGGTGACTCACAAGCTTCTGTATAATTAGATAATTTTTTACTAACACCAGATCAATCCAATAAGATCAGTAAAATCATCTTTCATGGTGACTAAATCTGCAGCTTCCTCCCAGACATAATATGTTATATGTTTAACTCACTTCCATGCCCCACTACACTGTAACACTGCAACATTGCTGATCCACTTTAGTTCTTTTTTAATTATGATATCCAAATATATGTTTACTGTATACCTCTATCGTGATAATGAAGTTAACTAAGCAGTCATACAGTAATTTATTATTAAAAAGACAAATACACAGACTTTGTCCTCTGTCTACTTCCTTCATCCAGTGTATTGACTATACTAAATGTGATTTGACTGTAGAATTATTTATAAAAAGAAATATACCTCTTGCACTTTGTGTATCTGTTCAATACAGATGCTTATCCTAGTTTACTGAAGTAATTAGTCTACAGTTATTACAAATATTAATCCCAGAAATCTGCAGTATCTGCAGGTACCAACACAGAATCTGATGCAATCTGAAAAACAGGAAGATAAGGCTGCCTCCAATCTTGGACTTGCTGAGAAAATGTTAGCGCAGCAGCCATTCAGAAATGCACACCTTCTGGCTCTGTGCACAGTAAAGACAATTAAATAATGATTATATATATGAATCAAGACTCCCTCTATTCCTCTATCTGCATTAAACATATCAGAATAATGACAGAAGTAAAATCAAACTAGCCTGAAAGTGATGGCATGTCTGAAGTCACTGTTATATAGTGCATTGCATTTACTGTCTGATGTTTTATTTGAGTGTGTAACATAGTACTGTCACAATTTCTATCATAGATCAAAAAATAGTGTCATGAACACTACTTTCTGCAATCCCACAGAGCAATTTTCCCTCTTTCTTATAGATGCTACAATTACAGTTGTGTGAAGCTACAGCTGTTCGTGGTGACACTAAATGACCAATAATAATTAATGTTTGAAATTTCAATTTACAGTTTAGGAATAACCAAACTTCACAGGGAATAGTAAGAGAGTAAAAATGGGAGTAATGTTGTCCTCCTGAGTGGAGGCCATTCAAATCAATGGAATGGAGGTGTGAGGATGAAATGAGATTCAGAGACGATAGATGAGAGAACTTATGCAAAAGAGAGAGGAAGCTGTGAAGCATCCTGGGAAGGGGAGAGGAGAAAGAAAGGAGAGTGGGGGAAGGACAAGAAGAGGGACACAATAGTGGTTTTTACTTATACTTGACACATTGAGTGTTGGGTGGGCGTCTCAGTGTGTACGAGAGGGTTGAGGGAGCAGCTGACACACCTCTGGCCTCTGCTCAGCCCCTCTGCCCCAAGAGAGATTAGTGGGAGAGCGCAGGAGTGTTAATAAGAGTCTAACATCAATTGCTTGTCTGAAAAAACTGTTCTGAGGAGTAATGGCCTGGTTATTGATGAATGAAGTGTTATGATTCACTTGCTGCAGTACATTTTGGTGCAAAGGCAACAAAATATAGTTTTAGTTCATGACGTTTTTTTAATATACTGGACTTAAATATGAATTATATTTTTAAAATATCCCACAGATTGTTGACACACAATGCCAAATACCAATGTTAGTCGATTATTGTAAACATATGTTATGCAATAGTTAATTTAGAAAAGACTCCCCTTGTCTTCTGCCATCTTCCCTAATCTAGAATACAATTTCAAAGTTGATCACCAAATCAACCTTTAAGTTGAAGAGACAACTTTAACTAGTTTTAAAGCTAACTGCTGCATGAAAGGTGAAAAACATCAACAAAATTCAGTATCGGTGTGACCACCTTTGAAACAGCACCAATTCTGTTTTTTTTTATGATACTTGGCAGGTAGGTTGCTCCAAAAAACTGCCACAGTTTTGTAGATTCAGGTTATCTAAGCTTTCTGTATGAGAATGCAAAAAAAAAAAGGCCCTAAATAGTTTATTGACTATAATATTGTATTGGATTAATATTGCGTTAAGAGGCAGCCCAGAGCACTATTAATGATGCTCTTGATTTATTTCTTCAACATGCAGCTCACAAAGTAAATTGCAATTTCAGTCAAGCACACTTTGATGAAGACAATTCAGTCAGTCAATGTAGTTTTTTTGTTTTGTTTTGTTTTGTTTTTGCCCACTGGCCAAAATAAGCTTAGTAGAATAAATAGAAATGTTGGTCTTAATTATTTAAACTGTGTCTGCGTTCATTGATTATCTGTCCTTGTAGCTGTCTACTGAAAACCAGGAGTTGTGGGAGGAGTCTCTTCAGTGTCTGTCCCTGTTGGTCCAGCTGTACGGTGCAGAGGGTCATGACTGCCTGTCACCTTCCTGCCTACAAAGCTTCTCACACATGCTGCGCACACACATGCGAAATGAAACTCCCCGAATACAACGCACAACTCTCAGGATCATTAAAAGACTGGTGAGTAAAGTGTACACATAAGCATCCACACATAGAGACTTTCTCAGAAATGTCAACATTACAAATGGACATTTTATCACATTTAAATTTGTGTTATATTTGTATAGAATCTCAGTCTTGTGTTTATGGTTTTGGGGTTCTGCAGAAACAAAATATAGGAATAATACGAAGACACAGACACACAGTCAGTCCTGCTGTGCTGCTGTACTGAATGGACAGTGTGGTTTCCCTAGAAGTAGACTGACAAGACAGAGAGGGTGAAAAAAAATGTATCCGCCTGTCACTCTCTGTTGAAGTGTCTGTCCAATTTTGTTTGATAGTCAAAATGATTTGTAGTACAGGCCAAAGTAAGCCTGTAAGAGAGTAGACTGCAGTAAAACAGGTTGAAATTTAGTGAGGCTTCTGCTCCCCAAACATAATACCAGACTGACAGACACACACAGCAATAAAATGTTGTGTGTCCTGTAAGATTTCAGTAGTCCAGCTAGAAATTAAAATGAAGCATGCTGCAATTTGACTGAGAATTTAATTGGTGGACCTACTAATTCAGCTGAGTTAAAATGCTTATTAATATGTTAACTGTAAACTGCCAATAGAGTATTGATCAACAGCATGTTTGACAAATCCAGTTGTGAAGCAGTCAAAAACATGCGGTATACATTCTATAGCCTAGCTTTCCTAAGAAATAAATTCATATTAGACGGTTTAATGGTCCAAGATTTACACTCACTGCCAAAACTCAATGGCAATGCAGGAAGTGGTGCGCTGTTTATGTGTCATAGGAACAAGCAGATATGTAGCATGTTACTCTGACACAAAAGGCCAAGGTCTGCATCCATTCTCAGGTCCACAATAAAAGCTCTCTTTTTAAATCATAGTGTCAGCCTTTCACATTACTCTTCTCCATACTTAATGAAGTATTTAAATGTTGTTGTTTTAAAGTATAGTCACTAGTTTTAATCCAAGTTTTAACCTTTACAGAGATGTCCAATATTAATTTGAACAACGAGTTAAAAAAAAAAAAACAATAGGTAGGTTTGGGGAAGGCAGTCCAGTGGAAATACATTCTAAGAAGTCAACATGAAGTTTGAAAAAATGGCTGATTTTTCTGCAGACCCCAATGAATATTGTAAAATGCATTCGTAATGTTTTGGCTTGGCCGTAGGGTCAAGAAATAGTTTCTGCACATGGGACACAAGGTCAGCTGTCACCCTGAGATCATATGATCTGACTGAAGGCTGTGCCTGGAAGCTACCTTGTACGTGTGTGTGTGTGTGTGTGTCTGTGTGTGTCTGTGTGTGTGTGTGTGTGTAGGTGTGTGTGTGTGTGTGTGTGTGTGTGTGTGTGGCAGAAAGAGAAGGTGTTTGCGTGTATGCTTGTACTTTTGATTCCTCTCACTAATTAGTTCTAACCACCTGAACCTCCCACACACAAACTCTGTCGCTGACAAGCTCACAGACTCACCTCTTTCTCTTTCTGTCTGTCTGTCTGTCTGTCTGTCGCAACAAATTTGTCCCCTTGTGCAAAATCCCTCATTACACCCTGCGCTACCAGATACAGTAACATCTATGTGTGTGTTCTCTATCCTGCTCACCACCCTGAGCAACACACACACACACACACACACACACACACACACACACACACAGTGGCAGTGTGTCTCAGCTATTTCTTCATAGCTCGTGGATGAGTCACTAAGCAGCGTCCCAGTGCTAGGAGCAGAACTAATTTATTTGCTCAGAAAAATACCCATCTGCCTTTCTGCACATTTAATCATTCTCCTCATTACAACAGTTAATTTAAAAGATTTAAATGTTAAAGTTTTACTCTCCCTCAGAGTACGTGTTGTAGTGTCGTTGCTCACTTTGTACTTTTTTCCCTATTGGACTTCAGCAGTATTCAAGGTCTAAAGGAAAACACACACACACACGTATATATCTGACCTGTTGGACCATAGACTAACGGTCAGCACATCCTGCGGCTGCTAGATTGGTTTCTGATCTGGGAAGTGTTTGGTTTCCAGTTTATGGTTCAACGCCTTGGGCTCTATGTTATGTTCCTTGAGTGTAGCAGCCATTTAGGGTCATTTGGTCAGCAACAATGTTTAGGTCAGTGGTGCATGAAGATGTGTCCAAGGTGTCCCACAAGAATATTGTAACATGATGGCCAGTGTTATACACAGTTGAAACCAGAAGTTTAAATACACTGTATACAAAAACATAAAACCTTTTTTTTCTCTCTCTCTCTCTCCCTCACTGTCTGACATTATATCAGACTAAAATTTTCCTGTTTTAGGTCAGTTAGGATGACCAAAATGATTACTATTTGCTAAATACCAGAATAGTGAGAGAGATCATTTTGTTGAGATTTTTTTCTGACTCTTCAAACTCAGAAGTTTACATACATTTCCTTAGTATTTGGTAGCATTGCCTTTAAACTTTATGACTCGGGTCAAACATTTTGGGTTTCTTTCCACAAGCTTCTCACAATAGTTTGATGAATTCTGGCCCGTTCCTGCTGACAGAACTGATGGAACTGAGTCAGGTTTGTAAGCTGCCTTGCTCCACACGGCTTTTCAGCTCTGCTCACAAATTTTCTACAGGATTGAGATCAGGGCTTTGTGATGGCCGCTCCAAAACATTGGCTTTGTCCTGAAGCCACTTTGTAACTAATTTGGCGGTATGCTTAGGGTCATTGTCCATTTGGAAGACCCATTTGCACCCAAATTTTAACTTACTGGCTGATGTCTTGAGATGTTGATTCAATATTTCCACATAATGTTCTTTCCTCATGACACCATCTATTTAGTAAAGTGCATCAGTCCCTCCTGCAGCAAAACACCCCCACAACATGATGCTGCCACCCCCATACTTCACAGTTGGGATGGTGTTCTCAGGCTTGCAAGCTTCCCCCTTTATCATCCAAATGTAAGATGGTCATTATGGCCAAACAGTTCAGTTTTAGTTTCATCAGACCACAGGACATGTCTCCAGAAATTAAGGGCTTTGTCCCTGTGTGCATTTACAAACTGTAATCTGGGTTTTTTTGTTTCTTTTGGAGTAACGTCTTCTTCCTCTCTGATTAGCCTTTCAGCCCATGTCGGTATAGGACTCGTTTCACTGTGGATAATGACACTCTCCTACCAGCTTCAGCAGCATCTTCACAGGTCTTTTACTTTTGTTCTGGTGTTGATAGAAACGTTTCACACCAAAACACATTCATCTCTGGGACACAGAACCCGTCTCCTTCCTGAGCGGTATGATGGCTGGACATTCCCATGGTGTTTATACTTGTCTATAATTGTTTGAACAGATGAACATGGAACCTTCAGGCATCTGGAAGTTGTACCCAAGGATAACCAGACTTGTGGAGGTTTACAATTCTCTTTCTGATATCTTGGCTGATTTCTTCAGATTTTCCCATATTGTCACAAAAGGAAGCAGTGAAAGCATTGTTTGAGGTGCACCTTAAAATACATCCACAGGTGTGCCTCCAATTAACTCCAAATTTAACTAAAATTCTGGGATATCGATCTGTCCAGTTACAAAATCTAAGTGATTGTGAGTCACCTAGTCTTTGCAAAAGCTCACGTGGACAAAGAAGAACATTTCTGGTCTTTAATTCTGTGGTCAGAAGACCCAAAAGTACCGTTGTTTGGACACAGGGATGTGTATTTTGTTTAGTCAAAGAAAGATAAAGCATTTAATCCCCAAGAACACCAGTGCCATGGTCAAGCATGGTAGTGGGAATGTTATGCTTTGGGCCTTTTTTTCAGCCATTTGGCCAGGCAACATTGTCAAAGGAAAATGGCAATGTGAGAAAAGAAAACTACATTAAGATTCTGGAGGAAAACATCAGGCAGTCTGCAGAAAAACTTAGCCTTGGGCAGCAGTGGAGCTTCCAACAAGACAATGATCTGAAACATCCAGCCAAAGTGGTCAAGGAATGGTTACCAAAAAAAATATCAACACTTTGGAGCAAACCAGACCTGAATCCCATCAAGAATCTGTGAAGGGAACTGAAGACCAGAGAGGTAAAGGAAAGCCTTCAGGCTTCAACCTTAGAGACCTGGAGATTGTCACAAAATAGGAGTCGTTCAAAAAACGAGTGGAGACATGCAAAAAAACTTGCTAGCAATTATTAGAACAGTTTCATTGCTGTGGAGGTCAAAAGGTCTTTGCTTTGATTACTGAGAATAATTGAATTAATAATTTTACAGTCAATTTTAGAATTCAACATAGCGTTGTTAGTAGAACTAATAAAAAAAAAGAAAAAAGAAAAGACACATGCATCTCTGATACAATGTCCTACTGTGTTGTCATTTCAAAAAATGCTTC